TACTACTACTACTACTACTACTACTACTACTACTACTACTACTACTACCACTGATACTACCACCACCACCACAACCGCCACCACCACTACTACTACTACTACTACTACTACTACTACTACTACTACTACTACTACTACTACTATTACTACTACTACTACTACTACTACTACTACTACTACTACTACTACTACTACTACTACTACTACTACTACTACTACTACTCCAGTCGGGGCCTTTTGCTCAGCGTGCGGCGGCGGCGGCCCGTGCGACACGCTGTGCCCTGAGAGCCGATGGCGTGTCGCTGTGCTTCCTGGGGCGGGAGGCTGGGGAAAACTCGGACCGTTGACGCTAGGGGCCTGGGACGTGCTTGGCGTGTCGCGCCGAGGCGCGGTGGGCGAGAGAGCCCGCGGCGCGACACGCCAAGCAAACGTCCCTGACCGTAGAATGCATCCTATGCCCCATGTGTATTGGACCTCGTGGATACCACCTTGCGTGGTGCACAAGGTCACGGGTTTGGATCCAGGTGCTGGTATCAGAGTGTACATGCAATCCGAAGAACGACTCCTGCCTGCGTAGTCTCCATCCTCCTCTCCCAGCTTTTGCTTCCAACCTTCGGCTGCCTACACATTCACTGCGCACGCGTACCCAAGTTGCCCCAACCGCTTGTTACGATTCGTGCTCAGGCCCCCGAGATCCCTCCGCCCGTCGTCCCCCTTCTCTCGTCCCTTCTTCCCCCTTCCCCTCCTCCTCTCGTATTGCCTCCTGTACACTCCTGCTGCCGCTCCTGCCAAAAATGCGGTGGGCCCGCCGTCGGCCGCCATCCGCGTATCGATGGGGATTCGGTCCACTGGGAGCGGCTGGTCTCTGCGGTGTCCAGCTCGGTATGGGGCCTCCGGAGCAGTGGTCAGCAAACGCGCGCTTGCTGGGGGCAGCTCGAGCAGGGTAGCCATGCTGATGCAGCTGAGGGGCAAAGCCACTTGGGACCTGGGATGGAATCCGTGTCAATCCTCCTCCTCCTCCTCCTGTTCCTCCTCCGCTATCGCCTCCTCCTCCTCCTCCTCCTCCTCCTCCTCCTCCTCCTCCTGCACAGCCACCACATCCTTCTCCTCCTTCCTCCACCTCGTGCCCCTCCTCCACCACCTTTCCCTCGTCCTCCACCTTTCCAGCGCTCCTGGGTTCCCCCCAAAACCTGAAATACATAATCCCCACGACCCCGAAATAACCGACTATAACACAGCAGGACGCCTTGCGTTCTTCCTTACATGTCTCCTCCCTCCTCCATGTACGTGCTTGTGTGTGTTGCCCCTCCGGCCTTCCCCCCCCGTGCCGCCCGAAAGCCGCGCAACGACGGCCACTCTGGCGAAACATACCTCTTGCGCGTGTAGCCGAACCTTATCCACTTCCTCCGCCTGCCCTTTTTTCCTTCCCCAGCGAGCTTTTCATCACGTGAGCCCGAATGCTCATGACGGGCATGACAAAAAAAAAAACAGCAACCGAACACGGGCGATAGCAGCCTTGTGTGGCGCGGAAACGTAAGGAACCTCTGATCACCTCTAGGTTAAGACAATCCGACAGCGAATGGGGGGTTACAATATCACTCTGGTTCTGCGTTTCTAACTGAACTGGTCACGTCTCGATGTTGAACAAATTGTACTCGGTGAGGTGTCCTATCCTGACGATCTCACACACGTGAACTGTGCTCTCCGTGCCGCTTTTCTTCGCCAGAAACAAACCTTGATATCGGATAATACCGCTGATCAAATAGTCCTTCACATGTGGAAAATTCACCTTCTTCGTCATAGCATCGAACACCATGCCTCCGTAGGCTTGTGATTTACCCTGCGCACCCATCCAAGCAGACGGCCATCCCGAACAGACAATATGGATAACGATTGCGTCATATCTTCTGGAATGCCTTGCAACCCTGTCGTGAGCTGGTAAAGATCGAAACCGTATGTGACCAGCTCGAACGGAAGAGTAGCTCGCGTTACATCTTAAAGCTCCATGAATCCGATCCACGTTTCCTTGTAGCTCTTGTCTAGCATGGGTCTGGCCACCAACTCTTTGAGCTTCAATGCCGTGGGCTGTGCACGCGGGGATCCTCCAACTGCCGTAGCTGTGTCAGACAATTCCGTCAAACGCGATACTCTTTTTGACGTCCGCCCTTGTCCTAACAAAGGGTGGGCTGCGCCAAATACTCAAGGATGAATCTTTGGATCCACAACCCCATGATGATCGGCATGGGTGTGCTTGTCTCCCAGCAAGGCTAGTCCTTGAACTTCATGTGCGTACGATGTCGTGCGAGTAGAGTGTGCTGCATCATTGATGTTCATCAGACTGAAGGGCCTCGTCATCTTTGCGAAGGTAAAGCCTGGGACTGATCGATGCCCTCGGGCTCTCTCCAGAAACGCCTTCAGCATCTTGAGGGCGCACATGGCGGGGGGCGACTGCGTTGCCTGCAACCGCGCAGAGCAATCTTTCGCGCCCCTCACGTCCTTACGTGTCTGAAATACATGAAGTTGTTGGGCGCGCAGGAATATGAAACCGCGGTGATTCACTACGTGTCAAACTGTATCTGTGGTTCCAGTCCTTGTCGACCGCGGGCGGCTCGACGGTGCCCTGGTCGGCGTCCTGAAGGAGAAAGGTCTCGCCATCTGTCAACCCATTTGAGATCCATTCCAGGTTGGGTGAATTGCGCGGTCTTCTTCGTGAGCTTGCCGAGCCTGCCCAGGAAGGAGCGCGCCCCATCCGGCCAGTCGCGGCGCCCAAGCGGAACGCGATCGTCACGTGCACAGTTGTCGCCGACACTAGCCTCTCTGATCGGCAATCATGCCGCGCGAGACAGTTCCCCACCGAAAGGGCCCCCCTGCCAGCCATCTCGCGCTTGATGCAGAGGGTCGGCGGCGCCTGCCACAGCCGCGATACTTCGATCGAACCAGGCACTGGCTTCGCACATTCAAGAACTGCCGCGGGCGCCTCCGAGCGTTCGCTGGTGCTGCGATGTGCGCCTCCCGCACTCTGCGAACGTCGAGTCCTAGCTCTCGTCGTCGTGCAGGAAGTTTACAAACTCGTGGACCTTGAAGCAATGCGAGTGGGACGCCCCCAGCTTCCAACCAAAATGCGGTTCGCACTGCGCCATTGAGGCCATCGTCCACTGATATACTCGCCCCGCTGTCAAGGAATTTCGGTCCACGACCCACTTCGGATTGTCCAAAAACCCGCGACCACGAAGTCGAGTGCGCATCGCCCGTTTGTCCTTTCACATCCATCGGATTCCTTTTCAACTGCTCAGCCGGGGGGTCGCCAATCTCGAGTTTCTCGTGCCCCCGGGGATCTATGTATAAACAGCGAGTGGGTCCACCGGCCGTCGTGCCATCATCGCGCATCAATAGTCAGTCTTTTTCCCAACTCTCCTGTGGTGTGAGTGAGTGAGTGCTCAATCCTGCACTTGAAACCCAGGCCCGCCCGCGGGCGATTGCCCCTGACCCAGGCGCCCTGGGGGGCGGCGGGAACACTTCCAACGCCGAGCTCAAAAAAGTGCAGCCCAGCCCGCTGTGGCGGCGGAGCACGAGGAGGGGGGGGCGGAGGCGGAGGACAATCAAGCGACAAACAACACACTGCGAACGAACGCTGACCAGGAGGAAGGAGGAAAAAAACATCGCAGAGCAAGCAGGGGCGGAGGTGCGGTCGGGGGCGGTCGGTGGTCGGTGGCCCTCGTCGTCGTCGTCGTCGTCGTCGTCGTCGCGGCCAGGACAGCGGGGACTGGGGGCATCGTCGGGGCAAGGCATGGTGTCGGGGGCGGTCGTCGTGGTCGCGGGCGTCAGGGCGGTCGCGGTCGTCGCGGGCAGGGCAGGGCGTCGGGGCCTGGGGTGGTCGCGGTTCAAGGGGGGGGGGGGGGGGCCGGGGGTCGTCGGGGGAGCGTCGGGGCTGCTCTGCGCCGTGGTTGGCTTGCGCCTCAGGCGGCGTCGGCCGCGCTCGCAGCCGCGGCCGCTGCCAGCCTGGCTGCGGACACCCTGCCCGGGGCCTGCAGCCTGCGGAGCACGGCCCGCGCGTTCCCCTTCTGGAGGAGTAGCGGGAGTCGCTGGGCGTGTTCCGCCGCCACGACGGCGTGGCCCTCGAACTCGACCCATTCTGCCTGCGGGGGCCGCGCAGTGGAGGATCTCGCGGCTGCGCCCAAGGCGTCGTCGGGGCCCGCGTCGTCGTTGGAGTAGCCCGCCCAGGAGCTGCTGGCAGAGCGGGAGCAGGCCGCGCGGGAAGCCAGGTCGGCGGCGGGCGCGTGGCGCTCCACTGAACGCAGTCCCAGGCCGCCTGCCTTGAGGGCGAGCTGCGCCTGCGCCCAGGAATCGTCCGCGGGGGAGCTGCTGCTCAGTTGCTCGAGGCTTGCGCGCGCTGCGTTGTCGAGGGCCACTAGCGCTTCCGTTTGCACGGTGGGCGGGGCAACCCGCGCAGAGTAGCTGAGTCGGCAGAAACCCGCACCCTGTCGTCGCAGCAAGTGGAGCGCTTCCTGGGCGTTCTCGAGTTCCCCAAGCGCTTCGAGAAGCTCCGTGGCCTTGTCGACTCGCCGCTGGTCGCGCTCGCCGCAGACAGCGTCGGTGCCGACAGGGGCGCTGAAGAGTTCGAAGCAGCCGTCCGTGCGCAAGCGGAAACCCTCGGGGAAGGCCTGCAGGTCCACCTCGCTGTCGTCGCCGCTGGCGGGGACTATCTCGCATTTTCCAGGCCCCGTGCTCGGGCTGAGTCCCACGGCGGCCAGCTCCCCGACCAGCGGGCGGAGGGGGCGCGCCACGGCGCGCCAGTAACCCGCCAAGGTGCCGTCATCAAGGAAGAAAAAGGCAAGGTCTGGGGCGCCTTCGGCCCGGGGGCCGGGCTGGGGGAGGGCTTTCTACGCGGCGCGCTGCAGTGCCAAAGAGAAGAGCAGTGGGCCCAGGGGGTCCCCCTGCTGAACGCCGCACTCCGAGTTGATTGAATGCCGGCCGAGCCAGATACAAGAGGGGGCGCGGTAGCACCAGAAAGCCCAGGGCGCGAGGGCGGGCCGCTCTTCATGCACCGCCTGCAGGAGCGCTTGGCGGTCGAGGGTGTTGAAGGCGCTACTCAGGTCAAGCTTAACAAAAACCTTCTGCCTGCTGCCGGCGTGGCGCGCGAACCACTGTCGGGACACGTGAACAGCCTCGCAGCCGCCAGGGAGGGCGACGCCCGCCTGCAAGGGAGCTAGACGGTCTCGGGCGGCGTCGGATACCTGACTGCAGAGGCATTTCGCCACCAGGCGCCGCGCAGTTTCCCCAGCGGCCACCGGTCTAAGGCCGCCGTCTTTCTTGGGCAAGGCCAACAGCGAGGCGCCAGCCAGGCAGGCCGCCGCGCCGAAAGGGGCCTGGCCCTTTGCAAGGAGGTTGGCGAGGCCGAGCAGCTGCTGAAGCACCTCGTCTCGGTGGGCCGCTGTCTGCAACGCGTCCTTCAAGTGATGCAAGTCGCAAGCCATAGGGGCCTGGTGCTGAACCCCGAAGGAAGGCCCGCACTTCGCGCTCGAGCGAGGCAGCGTCTATCTGTGGCGCCGCCGCCGCGTTGACAGTAGGGGGGCTGCCGACATCCACTGGTCGCTGGCTGCGCGGGTGCTTCCGGCCCATCTCCTCCCTCGCTGCGTCGGTGACCTCCACCGGGGGCTCGCTGGCGAGCGCCGAACAGCTCTTGGAGTACTGCGCGTCCGCCGCGAGGTCCAGGCAGAGGTTCTTTGTCAGAGCCTCCGCGGCGCCCCTGCTGCCGCGGCCCCCGCGCGCGCGGGCGGGGGGCGCGCTTAGGCAGCATGGCGAACTGGAGCCAAGCCTCCTCGGTGTTTTGGTGCACGGTGAGAGCCGCAGCCTGCGCCAAACAACGGGCCCAGAGGGCCTGCGCCCCCTTG